CCAGCATACTCATCGAACTATGGCTATAACTTCGCAAGTACAAGAGCACTATTTTTTTCCTTTGGGCACTATTTAGCACTATTTCAGAACAGTTTTTTGACATTCATGAAATATCAGGATTCCATGGTGAGTATGCTGGACGAAGGGACACAGATAAAGGTCAAATGTCGGCCCATTAAATTAAAAAAAAAAGTATTATTGTTCCGGTTTTGGATGTGATGTGTAACATAGATAATTAATATAAAATTCACCTACGTAACAAGAAAAACCGACAAGTAATTATGAACTAACGTAAAAAAAAATCGTTTAACTAAATCTTAGTTCACTTCACAAACCCAAATCCATCTCAGTTCACTAAACCAGTATCTTCAGTCTTGAATGCTTTAACAAATTAAATCAGGCAAAATCAGCGAGGAATCGATACATAAACCTTAAACTAGTCTAATAATTCAAACAAACAAAATAAACAAAACTTTATCTATATCTCATTTCAACGCTAATGCATGTCTATAAATTATCCATTTCGATCTAACGCTTACAGAAATCTTTTCTTCCTAATATTCAGGATATTTTGTATAATGCCGCCATTTTTTTCAAGTCGATTTACAAGACATTAAAGTGTCATCAATATGGAAGGGTATTGATAAATTTCTTTGTGCTCCAATGTTCACGCCTTTGTTATGGTTTTTTCTGCCTATTTCTTTATCTATGTGAAAAACGATTATTTCAAAGCTACGTAAACAAAACGCTAATATTTTTTTAAGTGCAAGTAATTCATACTCCTAGTACTAAGAACCTAAATAAATTCTACCTTTTTTATGGCATAAGCCGGTAAACGAGCAGACGGATCACCTGATGGTAAGCAATCGGCGTCGCCCATGGACACCTGGAACACCAGAGGCGTTACCGGCATTTTGGGGATTAGGAGTTTGAGGATCGTTCGGGATTCAGGGATTGGGGAGATTGGGGAAGGGGAGGGTAATTGGGCCTCCGGTAACCTCACTCACACGACGAAACACAACGCAAGGGTTGCTTCACATCGGTTTTCTGTGAGGCCGTAGTATCACTCCGGTCGAGCCGGCCCATTCGTGCCGAAGCATGGCTCTTCCACACTTAAAATACACTACTACTCACTATTCACTAGTCATTTCATTATATATTTTAAAAATTTTAAGTCTCATGCAACAGCCAGCCGAAATGCCAAAACTGCGCATAATTCCAAATTGTATATTAATTCCTACTGAAAGCGTTACAATAGTCAAAAATATTATAGGTACAGACCGGACGTATATAGACTAGGAATGTGGCTACAGTAAGCTTTTTTACTTCGTTAAACTATTCCATAAGCTTAGAAGAGAAAACATACCTATTGGACCTTATTGAGAATAATTTATTTTACCATTTAGAATACTTCCCATCAAAATTATTACAAGAAAATAAATAACGAAATCTAAGCATTCTACTTATAAATAAAACGAAATATTAGTTAGTAAAAACTGTCAACATTAAATAGGCTCAATGTACCATTACCAATGTATTTAAATGACAAAGAATCAGTTACTTAATATAAGGGAAAAGGAAACAACATAAATGCTAGTCTTATTTTATGTTAATAGCTAAAATTCTAAGACATTCTTCTTTGTTTCAAACTGTTTACAATAAACCACGGACAATTTATGACAGAACTCTATAAGCTATGGTAAGCTGTAACAACTCTTGTATTTTAATATTATGTCCATATTATAAATGTTACATAAAATGTTTCAAATTATTCTCGCCGTTTGTAATTTACGTGATAATTTTGTGATCCCCTGTTTCGAGAGGTAATACTACTCATAAATCATTTTCGCTCACCGTGAAAACATTGAACATTTTAAGGTACCTATTTATTGCCTAACCTTTGAAGGAATCGTAATATTTTCTAAAGTATTATAATTCCTATTTAAGACGACGCTATTCTTTGCTTTGAATAATTATATTTGTTGAATAATAGGTATACTAGTTATTTGAATTATTACATTTTATGATATGTTCCTAAAAATCACATTGTCGTCATGGAATGAATCAGATACAATAGCGGGGTAACGTAAACACAAAGCGCATATACGTATGCCACATAGACATAGTTGAATCGATTAACAAGAAGAGCAAGTTCAATAAGCGAGCAAATAACTGCTCATACATTTCTCGGTGACTTCGTCTACCGTAATATTGTACGGACCTTTGGCACCTACGCAATATTACGGACCCACCTAGCAGAACCGGCTATCCCTTAATTACTTTCCGGCCCTCATATTATGGGCGATATATTCACATAACCCATTTGATACATCGATCCGGAACTAGGATCATCTATATCAAATCACCAGACCACATACAAGGTCGCTTCATACCTCAGTGGGTATTTAATTGCTCGTAATTCGTATCTCGCTTGAATATTAAGGTACTTTACAAGCACTAGTGTCACTTTTTCCAAATTTTATGTATGTACATTTAGTATGCAAGTAAAAATAAACATAAAACGGGTACAGAGATAATAGCTATTATATTGAGTTACTAGCTTTTCTCAGCGGCTTCACCCGCGATCCCAGCGGTAAAATCTTTATGTATTACTGCAGACCATAATCTGCATATGTTCCAAATTTCATTCCAGTCTATTCAGTCGTTTTAATATGACTGATTAACAAACATACACACACCGTTACACAAAAATAATCCTTATAGCATGATTCAGTATTCACGCGCGACGGGCGCGATGGCTTATTAGAGTATTTCATGTGTAAGTTTGGTGTTTCTATACCAATTTCTATGATTATTTTTTTATTGAATAGATAATAATGTTAACTCTTTTAAATTATGGATGAATGAGAGTATTATAAACATAATAGTAAACAAAAATAAGCAGAAAGCTCCGAACTTCTAAGCTATTGAGAGTTACACGTGTTATTGTGAGTCAACCATAAAAGATAGATATATGCTGTTCAGAGATATTTTTAGATAATATTATGTAAAATATTTCCGCACGAGACGAAAGCTTAAAAAATGGAGTAACTTCTCCCGTTTTCCCAACGTTTCCCTTCACTGCTCTGCTCCTATTGATTGTAGCGTGCTGAAAAGTATAATATAATCTCTCTAGGAGTATGAAAAATAATTGTATCAATCCGTCGAGTACTTTTTGTTTCTATAAGGAACATACAAACAGACTTCAACATACTTCCTTGTGCGTACTGCTAAAGAGTGGAGTTCTTTGCCAAAGTCTGTGTTTCCTGAAGGGTATAACCTAGGAGTTTTCAAGGCCCGAATGAATAGGTTGCTTATGGGACGACGTGCTCTATCGTAGACCGCATCATCGCTTACCACCAGGCGAAATAGTGGTCAAACGTCGCCCCATCAAATATAAAAAAAAATGACAGACAGACACAAAAATTTACTGATTGCTTTTTTGGCATTAGTATCGATTCATAGTAGTAGTTATTTTGGAATATTTGGAAATATATTTCATGTATAGAATTGACCTCTCTACAGATTTATTATAAGTATAGATATATGTAGTTTTTGATCAAGCGACATCTTCTGTAACCATTGGTCTGTTCAGTAACCAACCAGTGATTATTGTCTCTGTACTAAATCAATCTTTATTTTTGTAGCTGGGTACTACATAAATGTACTGACTGTACTTTCTTATTTAGGCCCGTAGCACATGGTGTATTTTATACGTGCAGGCAACGTGCGTCTTCATTCATGCATTCATGAATTGTTTTCAGGAGGCGATAGACATGTACCCAATTGTAGTGGTTAATGGACCCCTTCGCGCCAATAGTTGCAATTGCAAAATTGACTTATAAAATAATTGAAGGAGTTATAAAAGGTTTGATTAATGGACTCTTATTAGTTGCGTGCTACTTCGTGCTTGGAGCCAGTGCGCTAATACTTGGAATTTTGTTTTTAAGGTAATTTAATTAATTTGTTGAATAACATTTTCTTCTCTTTCTCACCTTATGGTAGGCTGGTATTAGTTGGTAGCATTAAATCTCGGGGCTTAAGCAAAGTATTATTAAGATTTTCAGCTTTCTGAAGTTCTATGCATCAGCACAAAGTTTGGAATAGTTCGCGGTGTTTGATAACGAGTTGGTCTCCCATTACATAGGGCTTAAATGTACTGTAAAAAGTGGGTGTTATGTTGTATTTAACATTTATTATTATATTTAAATATATTAATTGACGTATACAAAATAAACCCTTACACTGTAAAAACATAAATTGTACATACATATGTATTACCGAAATTGATTACGTTTATAACATATTCTGTACACACGTAGTATTGTTCCTACAATTACGGAGGCCTTATTTTCATGAAATACGTGATTCAATTATAATAAAAATAAAATAATAATACTAGGAAATTATTCGGCGAGCTTATGTCACAAGGGTTGATTAACTTTTTGCTCGTAAACCTCTTTTATGTTTACACATATTTTATAGACTTGTTCTTGTTAATATTAAATTAGATAATCATGAATGTGATTCCCTAAAGAAAATTATATAGTTTTAAATACTAGATATGGTAGTTATAGTAGATATCCACTTTAGGAAAATTTGTCTTGAAAATATAAGCACCTTACTCGGGCAACATTAATATCTTTCCTAGAGTAACATATGGTTGTAATAAACACAAATACCACAGTAATAACTTATACAGCTGCGCAATGCGCAGTGTTTAAAACAATGCAATAATTATTATTATTCTCATAATATTCATGTGGCTACAAATGATTTCAATCGCCGTAGGCGGCGTAGCGCGTAGCGTCGTAGCGACTACGAAAGTGCTACGCAGCTCGCCCAAAATTAAATTGAAATATTTTACATCAACAGCCTAGTCTACTACTGGACTATGAGCTTCATAAAAGGGGGGCGCATAAAATAATCTTCAGGCTTCGCGGGCGGATAGTAGGAGGTCGTAGTTCAAAAGTTCCAGGTTTATCAGACAGCGCTGCTATCCAGTCTTTGTAAAATGTTTAGCCCTTTACTTGGTTCTTACAAAACTCGTGGGAAGAATAGTCTTATTGTCTCCCTCTAGTCGATCGTCACCACACGGTACGGCACTGTAAATTAAAATGTTTGTGTGAATGTAAACAAATTAATTATTTTTGGTTCAACATACAATTAAACTGGAACGTTTACTTTTCAATTAAAATGTTTCTTATTATAATGCTGGCGACACGTGTTAAGGGCGGCCATACATTTTAATTTGTTTCCTCAATTATACCGTTTTGTGTTGTGTTTACAACAGCCAGAGAGTGAAAGAAGATATATCGCTGTACATGTTTATAAAATGGAATTTTGTTCTATCCTAAAATAGACCGAATGTGCTATATAAAAATATTTATATTTGGGTTTCAACTAGTCCACTATAATATTATAATAGTACCGATGTAAATAATAATTTTAAATATTTAAAAAAATATATTTTTTATGCACTTCTTTGCATTTATGGTCATGCACTATACATACATACATTGCAAGTTAATTCTTTGTAAAAACAATCGTGTGTTACCTAACCCGAAAACGATATTACCTATTTTTATAGGTACCTAGCCTTCTCTAAAGGGAAAACATCATCTCATGGTTCTTCCCGCCTCGGATGAGGTGAGAGGTAGCCAGCGACGTAAATAATAATTTTTAATATTTTAAATAAGTCTTAAACTTAAACCACCATGTTTCTACTCTTGCTTCAAGCCGGAGCCCCGGCAACTCGAAGTCTTCCGCGGCTCTGAATTGGGTGTCAGCTTTACTGGGCCCATCTGTAGTAGTCTGATTGCTCTTTGAGGCACGCGTGGAACGTGACGAGCCATACGTTCGGGTCTGGTTCTGGTCGGACGGCGAACAAAAGTTCTTACGATGGCCAGAGTGTCTCGCGCGGCGGCAGGGGTGTGAGGAAGTTCGTTCCCTCACGCACCCTGCCTCCTCCTTAGCTAGCATGACTGCTTCGCAGAAGGAGGAAACGGCATCCTTGTTCCCCACGCTCCGCAACATGGTCTGGACCAGAGCCAGACGCGAGAGGTCGCCGTCGCCGAACACGTTACTGAGGACACGGCGGTACTCAGCCCATGCAGGGCACACTGCCACCGTATGCTCCACCGTGTCCTCCGGGTGATCTTTGCAGTGATGACACCTGGGAGTTTCCTCCCATCCAAAAAGAAACAGGTACCTTCCGAAACTTCCGTGTCCGGTACGTACTTGTGTCAGGGGGTAGGTGAGGACGCTGTAGCGTCTCTCAAGCCACTTCTCACAGAGGAGACTAGCCGCTGCAATGATTTTTGTTTGTAGTAGGTGAACTTGCAAAACCATCAAGGTTAATTCGAGGTTCGGAGCTGTTCCTGAGAATTTTTAAAAACGAGAAATGTTAATAATAGTGTTTCATTGACCACCTTTACAATCCAAATTCGACACCCTTAAGATTGCAGACCAGAACACACAATCAACAACAAACTCATGTTTATTGTTTTTTTTTACAGGTTCGGAAATTGTGGCCGTGAAAATTGTTTGCCAGAGTCTACTGCCACCTATTGTATTACAGCGGTTGGGATTACAATATTTGCGTATGCTGCTTACGTCATGTTTTCCCTATGGTTCTGAATTTATTATGTATCTTATTTGCCACTGTTCTAATGCCATTAAACTAAGATTCACTTGTAAAAGTATTTTGTTTGTACTTAGATGGTTTTAAGAAGCAAACTTATTTAATTAGCACAAGACTCAGTAGTCACGTGATTCTCATATTATGAGGAGAAGCAAGATAATGAAAAATAAAGGTTTATTATATTGACCGTAGGCCAACGTTTAGCCGTTATCGGCAACTATACTCCTAGTATCCCTGATTTAAACAGTCGCCGTCTTAATTCTTTCTTCTTGTTCTATATTAATCAACTACCTTATGGATATGTCAAAAGTATTCAAGTTATTTCCGAAGTAATTTATTTTCAATTCCATCTAAATAATTTCTTCCGTGATCTCAAAAGCATAGAGACTCGTGAATATAATTATCAATTTCCTTGTAATCTATTTCGGAACAACACTTCAGTGCCCACGCATTCGAACAGATTTAATAAAACGTTTATATTTCTCAATATTTCCTTTAATAAATTTATTGTTTCATGTCATTGTAAATCGAGACAATAACGTATACAAATGAAAACGATTTTATTATTTCCAATATTGTAATAATTAGAGGTATACACATAAGGAATATTTGCGAAATAAACACAACATAGCATACCATCACGGCTTTTATCCCCGAAGGGGTAGGCAAAGGTGCACATTATACCACTGTACAATGTAACACCCACTTTTCATTATTTATGTTATGAGTCCCATGTAATAGGGGGTGAGCCTATTACCATATACCGGGCACATTTATAGACTCCGTGCTACTACTGAGAATTAAAAAAAAACCCAATAATACTTTGCCCGAACCGGGAAACGAACCCGAGACCCCTTGCCCGGCCGTCGCACTTGCGAAATAAACTCGTCAACAAATAACATATTTCTTACTCTGCAGCGATGTGTAAATACCGGTCTGCTAAGTAGATGATTAGTAGATCATAGTTAGGTCACTGAAAGTTTCAAAGATTCTTTTTTTCACCCTGCAGTGGTCATATTTACTTATATATAGAACTTAATATATGTACAGGTAAAGTTAAATACAATACGTACATACATAACTTCTGTAAATAATAAACAGGTAAATATGATATTAACTTTGACGCCCACATTCTGCTTAATTATAATTAAATTGGGAAGTAAGTACCTACTTATAGCTTTTTCTAAATGAAGTATATTTAGAAGAAATGTGTGAAAGAAGCTAATTTATGTAGATTTAAAATTATTGGTAGGTAATTAATTTCTTTTGGTGACATATTAATTAAAATACATTTTAAAATCGATGTATACCGAAGTTAATCTATATATATGTATATAAAAATGAAACCCGTTTCCACGCCCGTTGTCACGCCATAACTTGGGAACGGCTAGACCGATTTGGCTGATTTTGTTTTTGTTGTGTTTGTTATTGTCAGAAGGTTCTTATGACAGAAAAAACTCCTGAAAATCCTACGGGAACGAGAGAAAACGGGATTGCGCATATGCAGTCGCGGGCACAAGCTAGTATTTATATAATTAATTTGTGTGATACATAAGTAACAGGGAAAATAAGACTGTTAAGAAAATTATCATTTAATAATAATCATCTAACACTTTGGGTTGTGCCTATTTTTACAATGACCTTTTGAAATGAAATTGAACTCATATTTTAAAACGTATTTCTTTGCAAATGAATAGAGATACTCTTTTACATATTTATAAATTGTATATTCTTCTAAAAACAGCGTCAACTAGGTACCTTTTCTATCTAGTATATTGTGTCTACGAAAATTTAATTAAACTTTGTAGAAAATCATTAAACAAGGTGACATACGTGTCAAGTACTCCATGAGGATTTGGAAGTTTTGATTGATTTGAAACTCCTACAGTTTTCTCATTTATTTTACACTAGCGACCCGTCCCGGCTTGGTACGGGTGTAATATGCATGTATTATATATAAACCTTCCTCTAGAATCACTCTACTTATCTATTTAAAAAAACCGCATCAAAATTCGTTGCGTAGTTTTAAAGATCTAAGCATACGTAGGGACAGACAGACGGCGGATAGCGACTTTGTTTTATACTATGTAGTGATTAAATACACATTGCAATTTTGAGTTTTAATTGCCGATGGTATGGGGTAAGTAGAGAATCATTACAATTCCATACTCAGATAGCCACCTAGAAGCCCTTGTAATAGGGGTGAGTCAAATGCTATAAACTGAGCATAATAAATTAACACCCTGTGTTGTCATTGAGCATTTTTCGGAATTCGATCCTGAGTCCACTGTTCGACAGTTGTCCTACAAAAATATTTCAGCCTTTGTAGTCACTCAAACCTTTGCCAATATTCATGGGTATAAATAAGAAATCGAAAATATTAGATCCTCCTTCTTCGACCGGACCTTTGAATCTCATCTCATAATTCTTGGGAGTACGTGATCGTAATATCCGTATAGCGCCTACAAGAAAAAGTATAGCAACAAGTGGTAAAATAGTGAAATAGAGAATTACTTCTTATTTATTTTTTTAAAAAAACGTTGTCCCACACTAGGATTTTCTCCAGTGTCGTGGGTGCATTTACAAACATACAAATTCACATACACATGACGCCCAGACCTGAAACAACAATTCGTGGATTTCCACACTAAGTGTTTTTCCGTGCGGGAATCGAACCCGCGGCACGCTGCCCGACAACCGGTTGCCCAGCCACCGCACCAACCGTGCAGTCATTTTTTCTTAATCATTGACTTTACGAACATCAATTGTAGATTTTCCAGAAACCTAACTTAGTAAAAGATGCAAAGGTGGAAATAGTTATTTAATATCGAAGACGTTTAATTCACGGTAGAAGACTTTCAGTACCCGTTTCCATGGTAACCTGCGTCATAACCCTCATAAACGTGCTAAAGTTGAAGCCTGCAAGTTGCGCTGCACTTAATTTGCTTTGACATTTTATTGCCATAAAGTTTTGCTACAGAGAAAGCTATAATATTATGTTTAATTTTTTTAAAGGGGGAAAATCATCGAATGACTTCTCCCGCCTAAGTGAGGCGGGAGGGAGTGTCAGACTCTTACTGACTAAAAGCCACCCCGTTCCTACTCCCACACTTCGAGCCGGAGCCCCGGTAACCTTTTACGTTTTCCGCGGCTCCGTATCAGCATCAGCCGTATTGGGCCCCATCCGTGGTCGTCTGATGGCTCTTTGAGAACCGCGCGGCACGCGACGCGCCGCACGTAGGGGCCTGGTACTGGTTGGGCGGCGAGATACTCATGCTCGGCATTCGCAGGCCCGTGTTAATAATAGAAATGTTTAATGCGTTGTAGGCTTCCGACCTGAATGACATTAAAAAGGACATTTATGTTCCGCAATGGACATTTTGTATGATACTTCAACTTCATTTTAATTTATTAAACTCTTTGAGCCACATTCCCTCTGAAAGCTCTGCACTTCAAAGAACATATTAAAAGATATTTATACATATATTTAGCTGGGAGCTCTTCATGTGATTGCAATAGCAATTTTACTGCTTTTGATGTGATCCTAACCGAGCCGCGAACGGAAAATGCACCGAAGGTGACTCACGTGGAGACTTTCGTTATATGGCTTTTGTCAAATTCTGAGAAATTTACCACCGGTGTATGGTCAATAATTGGGTTATAAAATTGAGTTATAAAGTTATAAAATAGCAAACACACGATTCGACGATGAAATCAATACCCTAGGTGAATTGAAACCTCTTTCATGTGAATTATTATGCGGGACAGCCGCCGATTCGCGGGTCGCGAAATGCTGCTTGCTCATGAATATGAGCCTCTAGCATGGCTTGAAACTGGTCGAATTCCTCGTCGAATTACTACGTGAGTAAGCCGAAAACGTAATAATTTATTTAGTATGTCTCTTTCATGTGTTTTGTAAATTGTAATAAGGTTTTTTATTAACTTAATATTTTATTGCTCATCTATTAAATCGTTAAAAAATGAACTACTATAATAATTGAAATACCTTCTGACTAAATCATTTATTAAAAAAATAATACCGAACTAAGGTCTTATTTTACCTAATAATGGGCACGCATCTTCTAGTGAATGTTGTGGAGGCCCGGAGGTTTAAGACGCCCGCTTCTTATGCATGAAGGTGCGAGTTCAAAACCTACCAACGGCAAGTACCAATATAACTTTTTCCGAGTTATATGTATGTATTTTCTAAGATTATCTAGACATCTCTGACAAACGGTGAAGGAAGGATAAATCGTGAGGAAACCTAGGCTTATAATTTCTAATTATAAGTCGCCAACCCGCATTGAACAAGCATGGTGATTAATGTTCAAACCTTCTCCGTGTGAGAAGAGGCTTTGCTCAGCAATGGGCATTTATAGGCTGTTTGTTGATGATGATTTCTAGTCATAAATATTTGAAAATTATCTTAATTTGTTTTTGACTCAAGCGTGCCGATATTAGATGGCATCCAGTCTGTATAGACTGGATGCCATCTAATATCGGCACGCTAATATCGGCTACGCTAAAGGTTAGTATTAACCTTTACTTGTTTTTCTCTGTATTGAGTCAATAAATTGAATCATACAATTTGTAGTGTGCTTTGATGTAATTAATTGATATCGGTAATTGGCTCCGGAATGAAACTAACCTGTTCGTAGAATATAAGAGTAATTTCCGATAAATACGTGAGAGATGGGCAATTTTTGTAGACAGCATTTCTCATTTATTGAAGTAACTACTTCTATCTTCGTAAATAGCCTTAGGTATAGATTTTTCTATTAAGGTTTTTGTAATACTCGTAGACTGCCTCGTTGGCCTAATGGTCGCAAGTGCAACTACCGAGGAAGGGGTCTCGGGTTCGATTCCCGGGTCGGGGCAAAATATTACTGTGTTTTTTAACAAAATAATCTCAGTAGTAACACGGATTCTGGAATTGTGCCCGGTCATACACCGGCAATAGGCTCACACCCTATTCCATGGGACTCATAACATAAGTAGTGAAAAGTCTTTTTGATATTTTGTTGTATAAATATATTTTTGTAAATTAGTTGTATATTTTTATAATGTTAACCGTGACTTTATTTAAATCTTTAGTTAATAATAAATTACGTAAGTATGTACATTTTTTTGACACACTTCCGTCTACAGGTTAAGCTGTAAAAAAGGCACTGCTGACCAAAGG